GAAACCTACAAATGTAGAGGACGACGTTTCGAAAGTCTTCTGCCAAAAGAGGAAAGGCGGAAGACTTTTGAAACATCGTCCTCTACATTTGTAGGTTTCTACAACATGCAGTTGCTGTCCATTTGAAACTTAGATTCATTATGAATACTCTGCCTAAACAACCTATCAAATAATTTGAAAGCTTGTCTGAACAAACGTTAAAGAAGAAAATGTCACTTACTCTGCTGCAGTATGGGTTGCTGCTGATAAACCTCCTTTAATATTTCCCACAACACCACTAGAAAGATTGCAAGACCAAAAACACTATTACACAGTCGTAAAGGTCAAACACTCAAATCTCCTCGCATTAAATAAATGAGATCACTTGGTGTGGAGCTACTAGTCAGTGTTACAGATGGATAAATGTGGCAACTGTTGTAATGCAACTAAATCTTGATGATAAAACATATAATGTGTGTATTCTTCAAAAACGCCTAAAATTTAGCTTTCGAAATATGATCAGCTTACTTTATCTTTAAACAAAATCAAAATGTAACTAAGAACAATTTAATGCAACAAACAAGTGTGATGTAAATCCATTATTAGTAAAATAATCTTCTCATGTACCCCCACATTAAATAAAGCTGAATCTACAAGATTTACTGAAGTATTTTTCTAACATATCCCCAGAGTAAATAAAGCTGAATCTACAAGATTTACTGAAGTATTTTTCTAATGTATCCCCACATTAAATAAAGCTGAATCTACAAGATTTACTGAAGTATTTTTCTAACGTATCCCCACAGTAAATAAAGCTGAATCTACAAGATTTATTAAAGTATTTTTCTAATGTATCCCCACAGTAAATAAAGCTGAATCTACAAGATTTATTAAAGTATTTTTCTAATGTATCCCCACAGTAAATAAAGCTGAATCTACAAGATTTACTGAAGTACTTTTCCAATGTATACCCACAGTAAATAAAGCTGAATCTACAAGATTTACTGAAGTATTTTTCTAATGTATCCCCACAGTAAATGGGGCTGAATCTACGAGAATAAATCTGTCCCATACATTAAATAAGATTGACTTATCAAGCTTCACTTCACATTTTCCAACAAAATGTTGTAGTTTGACAACTCAACCAAACCTTATTCCTTGTCCAACATCACGCAACATGCCCTTTGCTTGCCAGTGACTAGCAGGTAGACCAAAAGTTTCAAGTTCTTTTCCCTTCTTGATGTAGTTTTCTAGCTTCTTCTGCAGGTGAGCTACTGTTTGTGCTGATTTCTGGTTTTTCTTTTCAAACACATTTTTTATCCGCTGAAGCTGCTGTTTATCGGCACTGGCAGCAAGTTTGAGGTATTCATTCACATTTTCTGAAATTATTGAATGAATGACATGTAAGATTAAAATACTAATCTTACATATACTGCAACTTGTTAAAACATTCTAATAAAATGTAAGTCTATGACAGTGGTTTGAAGAAAAATACCTGGACAATCAGTGCTAATAAATTACTCAGTGGTGTTCCTCAAACCATGATACATACAAGCACACACACAAAGTGGTGTTGGGTGCTGCTAGCCAGTTGTCTTTCCAATAGTCAGCAGTTTCAAATTAATGACAAGAGCAGGTAGTCTTAATAGCTTTACTATAAAAAAGACAGGGTGAACAAGTTTGGTGGCAATGGAAATCAAACCTAAGGCTCTTGAATTATGAGCCTCTCCCCCCCCTCCAAATTTACCAAAGAAACTTGAAGTAAAAACAAAACACAGCTTAAAGTGTTAAAACTGAGCAGAGCACACATAACCCATTATAAAGCTTTGTGTTTAACAACAAATAAACATAATAGAAATATTTTGCTTACTTAGATAGATGGATGGAATAATAAAAACAGTAATAATTGGAAACTAATTTTGATTAGTTTATTATTTTTGTGATAGTCGAGATGATCATAATTTCAATTAATTGATTCAGTTGCCCAGCTCTACTCACTGTTTTAGAATATATTTAATCTCAATTTAATTAGACTGAATATTTCAACCAGAAATATCTGGAGGCAAACAACTTTAATTAATCACCATCTCGAGCTGTCTGCTCAAGCTTTATTAGATCTTTGGTTCGAGCAACTTTTTGGTGAAGATTGTCAATAGCTTGTCGGGTACGACTGCTATCGAGAGGATTACTAGTAAAGGTCACATCTGGTTCCTCCATACTCCCAGTGTTACTGCCCTGAACTGTGGGAGTAGACTGAGCTTCCACACCTCCATTTGGCACTGGTGGACCATGAGTATCACCACTTGCAGTTATTAAATCCTAAAAAATAGAAAATAGTGTATGTATACTCTGACATTTAGATGTAGCAACAGTGACACAATAATGGTTTCATTTTTTTTTTTGTAATTCATCAGAAATGTACTAATATCCTTATTAATTACAAACAATCACTTCCTGAAAAAGCTGTATAACAATAATAATTATATATATATATAATATTAATTATTACCTCAAAGTACGATAGGTCATCACAGACTGTACTATCATCACATAAACCGATGTAAAACTGGGAGTTGCCCCGCACTATTCCCAAGCAAGAACTTGGGTGAGACAGTGGGGTACTTGTCAGGGTTGCACTGCTAGATGTTAGACACTGGTGAGAGCTTTCTGAAACTAAGGATGGGGTGGATGTTGTAGGAGTGGACTGTTTTGGTGTACCACTGCTGTCACTTGATGAGTCACCTTTAGGAATTAGAGGAGGACTCTTCTTCCATTTCTTCATTGCATCAGAGCTGCTGGAATGAAATATGACAGTTATCGAAATCACAAAAATGTAATATTTTATGAATATATTATTTTTTTAAATGATTCACAGCTACATATATGATTCTTTGTTGCTTTCCTATAAAACTAACAGAAACTACACGCAAATTGAATCAAAGGTAACTTCAATA